TAGTACAGTAATACCACCCTCGTCAGCCTCTAAGTGGTCTTATGGAAAACCTCATTTCTACAGAGCCTATTGCAATCTGTATAATGTATATTGAATTAGTGTTTGCTACTGCAGAATTAGTTTGATAAAATAACACTTGTCTGGGTAACACTCACCACAGAGTTGAATCCTGTGAAAATGAAGTAAAGGACTCTGAAAGGTAGCAATGAAAATACGCACCCCTCTATATAATTATAATCTAGCAGAAATGGTTAAGATAGCTACAGCGGGTAGGCAAAAATCCTCAGATGAAGAGACTGTCACATTATTTGCATAATGTGAGATAAAAGTATTGGGGGTGGTCCAGTCTGCACAATGATCTCCAGTGGGCAATTCAACCAGGCCGCTAAGGACCAACCAAACTCTGACAGCCCTAGAACTAAGTTCCAAATCCCGATGATATGCAGGAGATGGAAAACCTACAGGTTGGGTGGATAATAGTGGTGAAGATGTGAACTGAATGACTAATCCTGACTCAAGGACCTGCAGTGCTCCTGGATATGTGGTTAAGGTTACCACACATCTAGAAATTATCGGAGCTGAGCCCTCACAGACCCAAAGAGGATAAACAATAATCATCAACACCAATAGCAGTGATCCGACCAAGCAGCAAAACCCTTGGATATAGACATAATCTATTCTGAGTACCAATGTACTGAGGGTTTGATGTCAGAGGTTGGGAGAACTATGACCCCTCTGTAGGAGCTGATGAAATTAAAGACTACAATGACAACAGAATGTAGAAGCCAAAAACTGAACCAAAGTGCATACTAACAATGGTTCCAGCTCATCATCAATGAAGTTGGTGATTCTGAGATTGAAAGAAAAACAAAGTGATGGATTTTAGATTGTAAGTCCATAGACTTAACCTGTCCCATCAGGGGACATTGATCTATTCGGGTTAACTACATTTTCCCCTTAGAATCCCGAAAGTCGAGGAGGAGATGTATTATTTAAAAGTTGGAAAATGCTTCCACCTAGCGGTGGTAGGCTAAATCATGAAGTTCCACCAATGTGTTGGATAAGGCATAACTGTCCCTTCATGTAACTGAGAAGTAAACATTTCAGCATGAACTACAATGTCCATGGATAGAGAGAAAACTAAAAATTTGCTTCCAGACCTTTCAGCCATCAAGTAAGGTGCATGCTCAAAAGCAACTGGGAAAAAGCCCAAAACATAACACTCTCGATGAACCAACAGAAGAAAATAAATCAAAGGTAGCTTATCCCAAAGTGGCCTCCTGTTTCATTTTTTTTTCTATAGGTCATTTAAAGACTGTGTCGATTACTGTTGATCGGAACAACATTTTGTCAGGTAAATTTGTCAGGTAGATGAGGGTAAGGGTGAAGATTTGGTGTATCTGGATTTTTAAAAAGCATTTCACAAGGTGCCACATAAAACACTTGTATAGTGTGGGGAACAAGTTAGCAAATTGGAGAGAAGAGTGGCTGGATGGAAGAAAGCAGAGGGTTGTTACAAATGGAGTTCAGT